AAGGAATAAGCAATATGCTGTTATGAAGGCTATGAATTAGCTGCTTATAGAACACAAGGTTCTTTATGTTCTGAAAATGAGGGGAGATGCTCACATTGGGTAGTTTGCATAGGGTCTTGGTAAATTTTTTGGAAGTGTAAGCGAAAGACTGCAGAGCACAACATGTTCCAGAACAGAACTTAAACATGGTTACTTTGCCAAAAGTTGAATATTATGGTTGCTCTGTAAAGCTAAAAGTACTGAGAAGCTTCTCTGGGTTTTTTAATGACTGGCCTCACCTTTTAAAAAGTCCCATTAGGTTTGATATTATTTGCCTGCAATTTTTTTCTCTCTTTTTGGAATTTAGTTGGTATCAGTGCCAGTGATCATTTAAATGAATCATTGCAAAAATAGTTTAAATTACCCTCTCTCTGACCATCTTTATATTGTCTTTACTCTGCATTGTGGACTTCTCTGATAATCCAGAAACATTTCCTTATCAAACTGTTTATTTATCGTGTATTCTGAAAGATGCTCATATAAAGAGCCAGGGAATTTAAAGCAGAATTTTTTTAAATTTAGAGGTGAATTTTGTACCCCTAAAATTTGACAGGAATATACATGTTAGTGAAACTTTTGCCCTTTGGTGAACTCATTTAAATTAGTAACTGAATCATTTTGGATTTATCCAACATAGACATAGATTAATAGTTGCTTGTTGTCCCTGATTTGCTGTTTCTATTGTCATATAGTGTGAGGTGGAGGGTAAAGGTAATCAGTGTACATGCTATTAGTAGTTCCTTTAAAATCTTTAAAAAAAGAAGAAAAAAGACTTATTGAATAAAATTAGCAATTATGAGGTAGGTTTCTGTCACGACAGAACATTCAACTTTCCTATGATGAACTGGATAGACATGGACTTGTAGATAGTTGGGAGTAGCCACCTTCTGTATAGCAGAAACTACTTGTGGGCAAATAACATTTCTGGCATTTGAAAATATGGACATCTACCTTACTGAAGTTCCAACTCTATTCCTTTTTATATACCGAGTGTAGTTCCACTGTTGGAATTCATTCACTGATTTGAAAAAAAGGGAATTAGCCAGTCAGTACAAATGACATTGACTATTACCAGGCCTCTGTCTGTCTCTATAAGAAAATATAGAGTTGCCTTCTCATGCCACCAACCTGCTGCTACAATACACTGCTCAAGGTGAGATAGTTAACCTTCTTTTTAGTAAATACAAGCTCCACAAGCATCTTAACAGCCAACCAGAGCACGGAGTGCTGCTAGYTGCAGTGGAGAGCATTGACAGAAGAAGTGTGAGTCGTGCCCAGTCAGAAATTAGGTTTTATGAGTCTCCACATGCTCAGAAAAGAAAATATTTCCACAATACACTGAAAAACAAAGGCTAATAGTTTTAAAAGCAGTTTCAGATGTTTGGAGAAGAGCATCTCATCCTTCGTATGAAGTATGAATGAATGCAGAACCAGTTGTGTCTCTCAAATGGAGTTGGATCATATTTTCTTTATTGCTTTACACTGGTCCACTTCCAGTTTAGCTGGCTAACTTTTAAATAACTTAGAGTTTGCACTACGGAGTTAAGTTAGAGGTACCTGTGAACAAACAAGTCAAGAAATTGGGTTCAAACTGGATTTCTTTATTTKAAGCATAGTACTGATTGTTCTATAAATTCTGATTAAGCCAATGAAAAGTCTGCAGAAATCTCATTTCAAATTAGAAGACATTTATTGAGTGATATATTTCCTAAGCTACCAGCAGTACCCCACCCAATGTTCTTTAATTTTGCTATAAAATTCAGAGCAATTTTCATTTGAAAGGTGTGTCTCTTTTCAGCATATATGAGATTTGAGAGTTAAAAAAAAAGTGATTGTGAACATTTTGTCAGACATGAAACACAAAGTCCTGCTAAGAGAAATAGAGGAATATTTTGGTGTAAGAGAAGCTAAGGAAAACAACATGTCTTTTGCTATACGTACTTGCAGGATGAATCTTCGTTTGAGTTTCTCATACCTGACAAGCTTCAACAATCTGGCTGTAGAAAATGGGTTTATGTTGTTTTCATGTTTTCAGGATTTCTTCTTAAGCAGTAAGAATTAAAACTCATGGTTCTGAACTCACATTTAAAGCATAATTCTTATCAAAGATCTGAATTTTGTGACAAAATATGCAGTCACAGAACACAAACACAGGAACTTTGCTTCATTCTTTTAATGTTTTAAATGTTTGAAAATACATCTTCTCTCTCTCTCTCTCTCTCTCTCTCTCTCTCNCTATACTGGCCAGTGTTAGAATAGAACAGATTTCAAATAAACTAAACAGAAAATAAAATATACAGGCTGATATGTGAAACATTTCAAATATAGAACAGCATAGACAAATTTTTTATATAATATTGAAATTGGATGACATTAAAGTGATTGAAAAGTTTTTTTTTAGATGATCTAATCCAATGCTTCTGACGAACAAGTAGCGCTTAAAGGTATGGAGAAAAATTTGTATAGAAACATGTCAGAGTTTTCGGGATTCTGCTGATGTTAACAGATCCTATGAGAGTTGCACTTTTARTGTTAATGAAATGGCTAGAAATATATTCACCAATTGCTGATTAAAAAGTACTGCAGTGAAAAACGCTGTGAACTCGAGAATTATTGGAGGTTTGTAGAAGTTTTGTTACAAAAAAAGTGTAGCTATTTGATATGTATCTTTTAATCTGTGAGAATATCACAATTGATGTTTGTGTTAGGTTAGTTGGATTATTCTCAAGGTGATTTGTTTATAYACACACACGCGCGCGTGAACACACACACATATAATAGTACATACCTTATTTTCTCATAAAATCTTTAATTACTGAATGAAAACGATGTAATTAGAAACCTGGAGGTAGATCCCGAGGCTGGTGAGCCGTGCGGATGCTGCTGAGCTCTTTGAAGCGGCCGCCGGCCGCATTGTAGCTCTGCGCTGTGCAAGTGACAATGGATTTCCTCTTGCTCTTTTGTGGTTCTTTGCTGTTATGTTACTTAAAAAACAAAAGCTTTGGTTGCATTTAGGTTAGTTATTAAAATATTGTTGGTTATTTCCTTTGACAGAGCACTTGTGTTACATTCGTGTCATTAGGAGGAAAGGTTATTCCCACTCGTCTGGCTGATACCAATACGTACTGGCATATTCCATCCTCTGGCTTTCTGGAAGTGCTTTATTTGAGCGGGAGCTTGGGAACAGGAAATCTGAGGTTGTACACAGTCTGTTTTCAGACTGCATGGTACACAGCGCGTTTCCTAGAAGACTTTCTTCCAAACAAGTTTTCTCTAGTATTTGGTGGAATAGAATAAGCTTAAATGGATTCAGGTTGGCAGAAGATATTTGGCAGTTGCAGCTGGAAGACAGAGACTTTATCTGTAGAGTTATTTTAGGAATAGCCCTTAGCCTTACATGAGGCTCGTTCCGTCTCGGCAGTTTGCCAGATCCCCTGTAATATGATTCACCTTTTGAGATATGACAGTGCTAATGTTCTGGGAGCCAATAGAGAAGATTTTTGCTTCAAGACAGAGTCAGATGTGTGAGAGAGCTCAGTGTTAGGCTCTGCAGGGAGAAGCGGTAGGGTGGTAACTGGGCCAACCTGGACAGGTCTCTTCCAGCTCTTATTCAGGAGGGGATGCCTGTAAAACAAAGCCAGTTGTGACTGGGGATGTGTTCTGCTGTGCTTCAGGAGCTGAGCCCATCAGTCTTGGGYGCATCTCTGGCCTATAAATGACTGRTCTCTTGGAATGCTTTCTCGAGAGGTAATCATCCCCCTGGGTGTTGCACCCATACTCTGAGAGAGCAGAAATGAAGTCTGTGTTTTTGAAGATCAGGAACACTTTGCAAAACTCTTTTCTTTCTCATAGTTGACCGATAAATCTATTTTTCATCCTATTTGCAGAAGAGAGCAATGCACAGATAGATGCGGACTCAAGTTGACCAAAAGCTTTTTGAAAACCTGTTGAGCTGGGTACAAAGCACATAKGATTTTCAACAGTTTCAAGTTGTCTTTTGGCTTTTGCATCAGAATTGTCTTACGTCATATTAGTTTGAGTACAGGGTGAGTTTTCATCTGGCTTTAACTTTGGCCTGTTTTAGGTAAGATCAACCAAGATTCATCACATTAGCTAATGGTTTGTAACATAGAAAATCTGTGCAATTAAAACTTATTTTGCATGGAAGACTCATCTAAGCCAGCATGAACTAGAGACGCTGAGAGAKAATTTTACTGTGTGTTACTGACATGGTTATCTTCGATTGTCCTAATATTTTGCTTTGTGTTACTGTACTCCGTGTCTCTTGATGTAGCGGCAAGCTTGTAACTAAAAGTTGTGCCAGACAGATTGAAGAGAGTTTGTGCCTGGATTGCACTAGTGTTAAGGAAAAGAGCCAAGTTCACTCTGCAGGGAAGTCACAGTCAAGGTGAGGTGAAGCCCAAGGCTGAGGCGCGATGGAGGAGAGCACCCTTGTCCTGTCACTGTCAGGGTAGGATCTATTGCTTGGTTAGCAGAACAGATTGGTTTGCACAGCTAGTGTCAATTTGACGTGGCTTGGCGGACTGCTCATGGAATGAAATGCTGTATGGGGTTGTACTTATCTGATCCACATATGTTTCCTATCAGCTTTTTTTTTATTATTTTATTTTTAATTCAAACTTTCCAAGTCCTCAGAAGCAACAGTGTAATTCTCGGGAAGAATAGGGTGCTAATTTAGGCCCATATATACAGGATAGTGGCCCTGGTATCTGTTTCATGGTAGCTTCCTGTACAGACACTTACTTCACATTAAAGCTCTTGAATGCTGTTTGACTTGGTTTCCTTCCAAAGCATTAAATAATTTCTGTGTTAAATATTACGTTTTAGCCTTGTCCCGTAGCTTCCAATTGTATGCGTGCTTCTGGCATTGGTATGAAGAAAGTGTCTAACTTTTTTTTGCTGCAAATGAATTTGGCCTCTGTTCTTTTCTAATTCAACAGAATTTAGCCTCTTGGAATCCCTCAAACCCCGAATGCCTCCTGCTTGTTGTGAAAGAGCTTGTCCAGCAGTATCACCAGTTTCAATGCAGCCGATTACGTGAGAGCTCTCGCCTCATGTTTGAGTATCAGACATTGCTTGAAGAGCCCCAGTATGGAGAAAACATGGAAATCTATGCTGGCAAAAAAAACAACTGGGTAAGCTATTAAGAATAATTTGACTGAAATGCTTTTATTGATCCTTTAATTTGTGCAAGTATTGCTGTTGCCTTGGAAAAGAATAAGTCCTTTGTGTGCTGTCTATGTATTCATGCTTAATGCTTGCAATAGAGAAAACTCCAGCTCACGTTGTATACTCCCTGTGTTTGTCCATTGCTTTCATTTCACCACCTTGCTTGAACCTCATTTCCAGTTAAGTCTCTGTTTTTCAACCTGGTGTAGGTTCAATATTATTTATAGATGGACTGATAAACTGTTGAAAATYCTGTGCTATGTTTACAGGGCAAAATTCAATATTATGTGCAAGTTCAAGATAGCTTAGGTTTCAAGAGGCAATACAACTTCCTTAATACGACACTCTGCCCGGGCAAATGTACCCTGCTGAGAAGCAGATTGTATTAGAGTGTAGTTCTGCCTTATGATTGATGATGATATAAGTATTAGCTGTATTTGCATATAACTCTCTGGCATTTATCTAACCTGAGCTGAGTTCCTCCAGGGACCTAAGCTGGGGAAGAGAAGGACTAATTTTTGATAGGAGGAGGTGAGGACCTGAGACTGGCTGGAGCTCTGAGTTTGTAGGACTGTGTTCTTTACATAACAAACAGACGTTAAAAGGCCTTATCTATTTCCTGAAATTGCATCCTTTGCCTGGGCAGGATGTCATGCTATAAGGATACATCCTATATATGCCATTTCAACCTCCCTTGATTATGTAGACACTTTCTGTAGTGTGCAACTTTTTTTTTCCTTCCCCTTTTTTTTAAAGCTGACCTCACTGTGTCACAGACATGCCTTGAAAAATCACTTTTTGTCATTAGTAATGTATGTATCGTGGGGAGCTGAGTTTAAGAAGTATCAGAAAATGTATAGTTGTGCTTATGTTGAATACATGCCCCTCTTGCTTTGAGATGCAGCATACTCTCAGCCTATACTACCATTTAGGAACGGTGTCTTCTGAAATGTGTGCAGCCTGAAAGTCTATGAAATCTTAGCATTCCAGTTGCCAGGGCCTGGAATTCAGCTTTATGTCACTTTTGTCATCCTTAAGTTATAGGTGACACAATTTTTTTTACGGTACAACCAGCAATACATATATTCTTCTGTTTTTCTTGTCATCTGGGCAGGTTTTTATTTTGAGCCAAGTAAAATTTTCTTTATCAGAGAATCTCAGATCGCTGTCTTATTTTTATAAGTCAGTATATTTCACAGAAATTAATTTGTTCTTGAGTGTTATTCTCTGTAGCTGCCATCACAAACAACTCATCACATCTGTAAAAATCATCAGTATGTTTTATTGAAATGCAGAAGGCCTTCTGTACCATACTCAGATTTTATTATCAGTTTTGGCAGCTGCCAAATTGTAGTCAAGATTGTAAAAGGAGTAGTTCTTTTTCCTTTTTATGGAAAAAGCCATATGTACTTCAGCCTTTGGAGTCTTTCTTGTCTTTGGTGACTGAATAATGATTTTTCTTTTCTCTTGGTTTGGGAAATATTAATTAAAAATATCCCAATAAAATACATTTTGAATATGTTTGGAGGCAAATCTTTTTAATCATTTCAGAGCCATGTAAGGCCTTACTACTGTGTGTTTTGCTTTTAAAACTTGCATCCTCTGTTAAGATGACTGAAGGTCACATTTGGACCAACTGTAGATTCAGTGAACCTGGTACCTAAGTGACAGAGGCTTGTGTGTGAGTTGTCTAAAACTGCATGGTTTTTCTTCCCGTTGTTGCCAACTGTCTTGTTAATCGGCACAATAGCAGTGTTTATCTGAAAAGCAACAGGTACCTGCACCTTACCTCCTTTTTCCGAAAGTTATTGAAATTTGTGCTGTCCAAACAATGTAAACTGTTCCTAAGGAATCAAGAGTTGCTCACTAGATCCTTGAATCAATCATCTATGTTCGTCAATCATCTATGAATGAACCTGGTGCAGTGTTCTTGTGAAAGCAATCATTGTAAGTGCATGACTTGATTTCAAAACAAACAAAACTCCAGGAAAAAAACTGAGTTCAGTGCAGTTCTCAAATTGGAATAAATTTCCTTGTATGTCTTGCACCAGTATCTCCAAAGTCCTGAAGTAATATCCCAGAACAGACAAGCCCCCTCAGTCCAGCAGCTTTGTGCTGATAGGTACAAGCTGATAGAGATGCCCATTAACTTCCCAAATTAGAGCTGTCCGTGACTGTGGCCATGACCTCCATCTGACTTTGGCTTCTGGATAGTTGAGCACCATGGACAGGGACTTGTTCCCTACAAGTTCAGCAAATGTTTAGGAGTAACACATTGCAAGACAATCTCGATGAAAATGACGTAAAAGATCTAGGCTGCAAGTCTCTGTTTATATCCACATCTGAGAAATTGTTGTTTGGTTCAGAGGCCTTTCATCTGTTCAGTGGCCATCCACAGTTCCTGAGGCTTGGTATTTTACCAAAAATGTGGATTTTTTTCGCAAATCTTGTTAAGACAACTTGTCTGGGAGACAAGTCCAAAGAAACAGCACTGCACATACTACCCATTTCTGTCTGAGTAAAAGCTGAGTGCTGTGACTGTCATCATGGCAATCTTGGTGTTGAGCACACAAAAAGTCAGTGATTTCTCCACATATGTGTGTACCACAACATCAGCAAGTTGGTATTTAGCCCCAATATTAGTGTCATCAGGAAGGGTTTTGGCCCTGACTTTATGTGCTTGATTTTTGTTTTTAGTGTTTCTATGTGCAGTTGCTTTGCATCCGTTTTGTGCTTGTCAGGGACAAATTGCAAGGGCACTTCTGAGCAAACTAGCAACTGAAGAAATAGATCACAGCATTAAAAACACACAAGCTCTCTGGGAAATGATATAACTGGTAAGGTACCATTATCAGGATCTTGATTATATTCACGGTCTTGTTTTTTCTTGTTTAGTAACTGGAACTGGAATAAGTTATCTCCAGTTCACTGCTAATGCATAGACCAAGGAACAGGTTGGCATTGGTATTACCTGTGCTGCATCTGCCTAACACAGCATTTTACCCTGTATGTTCTTAGTTAGTTAACATGGGTTAAACATTTTTTAATTTAGGCATAAAGTAAATGAAAGTATCTAGTTCTGTAGAGGCATGTGGTTTTTTGTTTTGTTTTGTTTTTTGATGCCACATGATGACTAGTGTTCCTCAGCTGTCCAGCATCTAACCAGGTCATATAGAAAACCTSTTCCCACTCTACAGCCTCCCTTTGACCTCAGATACTTTCCCAGTGAGGCTGGTGCAGCTGCGTGTTGGTTCCTTCAGCATTTGGGTCAGACGGCTCTTTTCTGAATCCATATGTGTTGCAAACRGTGTTGTCTGGCATCACCACATCTCCACATTCATCATGGAGATGTGGTCTGATAGTTATGTCACTGGTGACAACCTTCATGTTTTGTCTTCTGCTGGGCTCAGAGCAATCTGTGGATTAGCATAGCTAATTGAGAGGGGAGACAAGCCTGCTTACAGGCTTTATACAAACACATTTGCTKACAGTTTGCTTTATGGATGCATAGGACAGTGGATTTCTTGCGTTTTCAATATCGGTGCAGGTGCTAAAASAGCCTGAATGCTGACAGCATTCCTTTAGAGAAGTTGTTTTGCCTTTGAAAAGCTGTCCCCATAGGTATGCAGATCTCTAATGATAACATCCACTAGAGGTAGCAAAGCTAAAGGCATCTTCCTGATGTCTGTGTGGATTATAAGCGTTTGAGCAGCAATTCCAGCTTTTGGTTGAATTTGAGGTGCAGGCAGTAGTCACTCTCCCTCTGCAGATATTTACAAAAGTTATTTCAAAGGGCTCTCTCTGCTCACTGCTGCTGTCAAGATCCTCTGCTTCTCTTCAGTGTGTTGTTACTGCATCTTACAGGAAGGATATTTTCATTATTTTGGRTATTTTATGGTCTTTTGCTTGCCACAAGGTACAGCTTGTGCCTGTGGCAAACTTATATGTAATAGAGATRATTCTATTTATACCTAGTATACTAGGTACATTCACCATTTTAATGAGAATTTTAATACAGATACCACAGATACCTGTGCGCTGTTTAAGCTTGTGTGTTGTACACTTGTTTACAGTATTTTTCTTGCCTTTCCTGGCTTCACAAAACATTTAAAATATTAAAATGACAATTAGCTGCAGATAACTGTTCAGTGAATATTAAAGCAATAAATATACGTTACAGTGGCAGAATGAGTATTGAATATTTGCATAGCTTTAATTTGTCTCCCCTGGATGTTAAAATACTGTATTTTAAAAATTGGTATGTCAAGTTACTAAGTAGTTTCTGTACGCAAATTTAGGGCAATGTTAAAACTGAAAGGGGTGTTTTAGCTCATCTCAGAAGGTCCTATTTTTTTCTACTTTAATGTTAATGCTTTTTATATTGGTCATTGAAAAAGATAAGTCTAGCTGGTGTATGGCTACTTTATTGAATTACAAAATAGGGAGGTTCTAAGTAAAAAAAAGTGATGGAAATCAGGCAGACATTTGTTCAAAAAGAACAAACTCAATTGCTTCATAATAGGTGGACAAAGTCTGGTTTTGAGGAAGTGCATGAAACAGAAAGGAAATCCTTTTCATTTCCTTTGCAAACACTTCATGCATAAACAGCTATGAACAGGGGATACTTGGCAAGTTTTTAGTTGACTARGTGTAAAGAGACACATAATTATGAGAAGATACGGCATAAAAAATCTAGTTCTGTCTTTTTTTCTGTACTTCAAAAGATATTTCCTATTCATTCCTACCTTACTCAACTGAAATTTCTCCTCTTACATATTATCTCTACATATGTTTGTTTGTTAAGATTCCCCTATTTTATATGTTCTTTTTTTTATTATTTATTTTGGCTTTTAAACCGCAGATCCCGCCRGAGCTTTGAACGGAAATGACTACAGACAAGATGTGTCTATCTATAGGACCTAACAAAGAGTGTTCCATTTTTGTCTTGCACATTGTTGCCCTTTGACTACTTTTTTCTGTTCACTTAGTGGCACTGATGCATGCATAATTTTTTTGTCTGTTCTCGTATAATGTCTGTGAGATTGTAGTTAAAAAAAAAAAAACTCAGTAATACTGTTGATGAATGTTGCTTTAATTCTCCTTCATTTCATTTGATATGAACTCTTGCATATTTTTTTTTTTATGCCCGGTACATTCAATCTGTGATTCCGTTGTAGACACTGGGTCTCATTAGTTTCACCTTTTCTTTGCAGACTGGTGAATTCTCAGCTCGCTTCCTCTTGAAGTTGCCTGTAGATTTCAGCAATATTCCCACATACCTTCTCAAGGTAAAATGAATGCCTAAACTGACAGTATTTGTGAGCAATATGAATTATTGAAATGTTCTTAACTATTTTGACTTTCCATCTTACCCTCTTTAACAGACTTAAAGTCCACAGTATCTAAATGTGATAGAATTAGGTTTTGGAAAGGTGACATGATGTGTTGCCTTGCATGAYATTTTAATAGATGCTAAATACACACCTATCATTCGGAAGGACCTTGCAGGTTTGTATTGTTGAAGATTTAATGCAATGCAGATATTCTGGGCTTTTAGATAKGTGATAGGCAGCAACCTTCGATCATACCCAAGGCATTCTCACAGGGAATAAGCTTGAATATTTTCACATAAGCTCTTCTAATGTGAATTTGTGAAATTCTGTGCTATGTAAGTGTTCTCTTCACCTTCCTTCCCTCCTTTCTATGAACAGTCAAATTGTAGCAATAGTCTTCATAGGAGAACTAAATGTAGTAGTCTTTCTTAACAAGGAGTGAAAGCAGTTAGTGATGACAYGGACTGAAGGGCTTCAATGATTACTTTGCTTCATTGTTTACAATTAACACTAATTTGACAAGATATTTAATATAGTTTTTAAAAGAATGTGGGACTGTAGACTATAAAAACAAACTATGTGCATGTGTTAGTATAAGCTGTAAAAGTGTAATCCCTTCCTTACTTAAAAAAAACACCTGTGACAAAAACTACCAAAGTGGAATAATTTGACTGACTACTTATCTTCTGGATAGCGACAGTAACATAATGTTTTTCACAGCAGATGGACAGTCACAATTTCAAGCAGTTGTTATGGAAGCTCATCATAAGGTCAATATTATTGTATTCAGAGAAACCTGTGATAAATCTGCATTCACAGTCATTAATGGCACAAAGTGCTAGAATTCTTGTTTCTGTCAAGGTTGGAGTCAACCAGTGTTGCYGATATCCATCCATCTTTCCACTGCTAAACAACGCGCTTGGCTCCTTACTCAGATGTTTTTTCTTAAATATTTGAAAAGGAGACAAATAGGTATTTAGTGCTTAGCAGCTAATTTAGTGAAATGAAAATGTCAATGTAGATTCCATAACCTTTTTTTTCTATCTTTGTGTTTTAACTCTTAGCTGTTGTTATATTACAACTTCAAGTATTAATCTGCACAGTTTCTTCAAATAAGATGTATTGAGCTAAGGGCCATGAAAATAAAGGCATACACAATTGCTATCTAACTGAACTATTTGGTTGTAGTCTGAGCTGTGTATCCTACGGTCTCCTCACCTTCTTTAGCCTGCTAGCTATTTGAATATTGACCTGYCCCTTAGAACTTTCTCCAAAGCCTCTAAATATTTTCAGTCTGATGTTGTTTTCATAATAGCTGCTTTGTTCCAGGTTTTGTGTTTCATCAGGGCGTTCTGGCCTTGTTTGATGGTCCCGTTTCCAGCCACATGTAAGAGGGGCAACTAAGGGCTCTTTAGCAATGATGGTGTCAGAATCAACAAGCAGCAGCAGTTTACCTGGATTGCAGTACTCCTGGCTTCCTTCTCAGAAGTCTTGTGGGGTAGGGATGGAAAGAGGCCGAATAGAGCTAACATGAACAGTGCTGTCAACTCCTGCCAGATCTCCAGGTTGCCATTTTTTCCAGGAACAACTTCAAATTGCTCAAGAATTTCTTGGACATGTTGTGCATACACCATGTGCTCAATAGCTTCAATTACAGGACTGTGTCTTGCACTTTTCTTCTGCCTCTGAGGAAATTACATGACTTTCAGACTGGAAGGTGGTGTAAGTTTTATGTAGGTAGTTGTCATCACACAAGAATCCTGTGATAAACAGATTCTACTTTATTTCTGAAGAGTAACATTTTACTGCCTCCTGCATGACAACATACACTTTTTTTTTTTAATTGTACTTCCCTATCCCATATTCACTAATGAACTTCCATGCTCTCTAAGGAAATTTGTTATACTGTGGATAAATCATTAGTACTACTCGACAGATTCCCAGAGTGTTGTTCACCCTGAGCCATGAATGAATCAGCAGTCTCAAGGAAAACATGGGTGTACTTGCACGTGCGTAGACTGTGGGAARAAGCGTGCACAAAATACAGCAGAATCCACGTTTCACAGTCTACCTTTATTTTGACCTTTCTAAAGTTCTAATGTTGTAGCATCTTTAAYAATCCTTAGCATATTTTCTGTATGTGATTACCTGCATTTTTAAAACAGCAGATACTTTCTGATGATGCAGACTTTGCTACCTGAACTAGCAGGTTAACTGTCTGTGATAGGAGGCTGGGTTTGATCTGAATGAATGAATACACACAGGAGGAGAACTTTGCTTTTTTTTTTTTCCGGCAGTATTTGTTGACAGCAGGAGAATGAGAAGAGTTTGGGCTGTGATGGAGAGTGCAGGTAGCACTATGGCCAGCATCAGTATTCTAGCCTGTTGCCTTTGACTCCTTGTCTTCTGACGCTATAACTGTGTGAAAACCATCTCATAGTGCAACACTGTAAATTCAAGTAGAGCTGGAGCTCCAMAGTCATTAATCTATAAGAATTTTGTCCCTTAAGCCAGGAATATATTTTTATATATTTTTCTTCTCCCCCTCCTCCCTCCTTTTTTTTGGCTGAGGCTTTTGATGGAAATCTTGGAATTTTGTAACAAAATGACTATTTATTTTCTATCATGTCTGCCRGTTGCACCGTCTACAATTCTTTCTACTAAATTATGACACATGATAGGGAATCCATTGATGTAGGAGGAAATATGTGAATATGTTATTCTGAAAGGTAGAAGAACAGTCAGTAATTGAAGGCTGCTAGTGCAGAAACAGYTTAATGTTTGAACTGGAGAGCTGAATGCCGTGTTTGAATGTTCTAATCTGGAGGCAGCTTTGTCGTGCACAGTAGCTTCTCTTAAATGATTTGCCAAGTACAAGCATGTGTTATACCTTCCAAGCCATGGAATTTTATTTCTTTTCTTAGGTTTAATTAGTACGATTAGTATTAAAATCTGTTGAAATATTTAAAGACCATTATTCTTTTCTCATTAATCATTCTTAGTCCCCCAGTGATTTGTATCGCTCTTCTGAGTTTTCTTTGATTTCAATAGGTAATTACACTACAAGTGTGACTGTTAAGCTTCATATAATAAGATAATATTCGGGTTTAAGGAAGTATCCTGTGAATATTTTCTGGAGTATTACAAAATCCTTGGAATTCTTGAGAATGTACTGCTGTTTTATTAGAACTTATCCTCTCAACTTTAGTGAGAATATTTTCCTCTCTTTGTGGAGAATAAAAATTCAGAAATGTAACTTAAATTGGGTTGTTAGGTACCAGAAAGGCTCGTACTAGGTTATTTTCAAGTCCTTTGATGTATTTTAAAACTCAATTCAAATGAGTGTTCATTATAAGGAAAGTTGTTGAATATGCAAAGAAAATCAAGAATGGTTAAAAGGACATCACAGAATAAATACACTATTGCTTCCCTTTCTATTTTGTAAGTTCTATCAAATAGATGTCAGATATTATTATTTATATGAAAACATTTGAAGCTTATCATGGGAGTAACTGCAGTCTGTAAATCTCTTGTCTTTTTCCTTGGCATATTTGTTCATATTTGAATGCAGAAGTGTTTGGGTGTTTTTTTTTTTTTTTTTTTTTTTCCCAAGCAAACAAACTGTTCAAAGAGAACTGTTGGTTTACACCAAAAATGACATTTAGGAAAAAACACCCTTTCATATTTTTTTTTCCTTCACAAATTTATACTTTATTTCTGAGGATTTGAATTGAATGTAGATCTTCATATCCACTTTTGCTTTTTCTCATGCAAATATATTTGACATCAATGAAAAGATGTTTTAACAACTGCAGGATTGTTCAATCTGTACTGCAAGGTTCACTACTGTTGAGTCTTTCATCAAAATTTTTGGGTTTTTTTGTTTACTTAACTGACATGAACATGGCTTTAGTTTAGCAAAATTGTTATCTGCTTGCTTTTATGCTTTCCTTATCCACAGTCATTTGGACTTAAATTCTTTTCACTACAACATTTTCAATTTGGCCACAGTATTTTATAAATGGAAGTGTTCACTGTACGTACAAATTTTGAAATTCAATCTTTAGTTTATATTTATCTCTGTCTACAGGTAACATGCATGCCGCAGTCATAGTAAAGGTGATGGGCTAGCCATGTAAAGTACTTTATTCAAATTTGTTTGATCTCTATAGTTTTGGTCAGCTGCAGGGACTTGTGTTACCATGCTGGTAATTCCATAAGTGTCTCCAGCTCAGTAGTCTGCAAACTGTATTACCCTGTGAGACTGTTGTGTAAATGTACCTCAAAGGGTGTTGCCAGTCATGCTGTTGAATATGAGGTATTTGGGAATTTTATTTTCGTGTATTTTGAGTTTTGACTCCAAAAGAGAGTTAGGATGTGGCCTGCTTACCATCTCTGTCTTAAGTGCAAAATTTAATCTATTAATTTCCTACACTGGTAGTATTGTCTTGCTAAGTAGGTAGCATATGAACCCATGTAAATGTGATGTCACCAGCTCTAGTAAAGCAATTTTCCAATAATTTATTATTATGCAAATTTAAAGGAAATATTAAAAAGCATACAATATGTGTTTTGTAGATTTTTTTTTCCTTTATTTGTATATTAGGCTTTTCTGGAGAGCTTTCTTTTGTGATGACTGCTATATTTAAAAGCATATCTTTGGGAACCGAAACAAATAAGAGGTATTGTCTAGACACACTGCCAGAGGCCAAACAGTTGTGTATAGGGCTGTCAATAGGAAGGGCTTATCCTCAAGTTCAAATTGAAAGATAAGAACATATTTGTTTGTTAACTTAGTGTGATTTCATCATTCAGAACTCTTTGTTAAAGACTTCAGTGCAACTTTTGTTTATAAAGTAGACCAAATTCCAGGTACTCTGAAAGATTGTAACACTTTTGTGTGTTTGAGTAATCAAGTACAGCAGACAACAAACAAAAGTTAAGTATAATATACA